CGGATTCCGGCGTTGACCGGCGGTAAACACCGGTCTCCGGCGTTGACTTTTTTTTATTTTTTTTATTTTATTTTTTTTTTAATTTTTTTTTCTGTAACTTTTTTTTCCGTTTAAACAACAATATTGCTTTGAATGACATTAATATTAACTATATTACTGTTTAGCCCAGTAAAATTAATTAAACTATAGTTTAACACAGTGATATTGCTATATTAATCTCTAGCACATTAATATTAACACAACAAAATTCATTATTATTGTATAATAAAGTAATATTACTATGTTGTCCGTTCAACAAATTTAAACAAAATAAAAAAAACCAAAAGAATTAATATTACTGTGAGTGACAGTAATATTACTATAGCAACAGTAATATTACAATAGTAGACAGTAATATTATTACGTTACTCCGTGAATAACTCAAACAAACAAAATATCCAAACAAAAGAATAATATTGATGTGGTTGACAGGAATATTACTATAACAAACAGTAATATTACCGTCAACCACAGTAATATTATTGTGTTTACAGTAATATTACAATAATAGACAGTAATATTAATACAAACACCACAAAAAAATAATAATATTGATGTTGTTGACAGTAATATTATTGTGTTTACAGTTATTTTACTGTCAACGACAGTAATATAATTACGTTGACTTGTCAACAAATCAAAAAAAAATAAAAAAAAATAATAATAAATAAAAAAATATAATATTGCATTAATTTACTGTCAACGGCAACACAATTACATAAATGTAATGTCAACGGTAGTACAATTACGTTAATTAACTATCATTGACAGTATAATTACGTTAATTTACTGTCAGTGACGGCACAATTACGGTCAACGTTTAGCGGCGGACGTGGAAAAACAAAACAAACCAAACAAAACAAAAAACTTAAAAAAACACTAAAAAAAGAGACCGCCGGAAACCGGCGAAAAAATCCGGCGGAAAAAAAATCCGGAAGAAAAAAAAAAAAAAAAAAAAAAAAAAAAAAAAAAAAAAAAGTCAACGCCGGAGACCGGCGTTGACCGCCGGTCAACGCTGGAAACCGGCGAAAAAATCCGGAAGAAAGAAAAAAAAAAAAAAAAAAAAAAAAATTAAAAAAGTCAACGCCGGAATCCGGCGGCAAAAAAAAAGTTTTTGAAAAAAAAAATATTTTTTGAAAAAAAAAAATTTTTGGGTCAAAATTTAATAATTTGTGAAATTTGGGGTCAAATTGAGATTAAATTAAGTTAAGGATGAAATTGGAGCATATTAAATTATACTCCAAAAAAAAGTCAAAATTGAATTTTTGTGGTCAAAATTGAACTTTTATGGACAAAATTGATTAATTTGGATTACAATTAAGAATTGGGTATAAATGGTTGAGGGTAATATTGGGATATACATGAATGTTTCCTTTAGTTATAATAAATATTAAAGGGATGGGCTTATTGGTAAAAGAGATATGTCCCCTAAACCTAGAATAATAAACATGCTTGGTTGGGGACTTTTGCATAAAAATCCCTATAAAATAAGCCCTAATTTAAAATGTTTGAAGAATAAGAGGTTTTATGAGTTAGTCTCTACAAACGATCCATGTATGTATTTAAGAATGTGATATAATCACATTATTGAATACCTTGTTGATGGAAGGTATAACCATAATTATAGTGGTCTATATGAAAGACCCAATTAGTTTCGTGGAGACTCATGAATAGCTCACAAAGAGAATCAACTATTTGCTAAAATAGTTTGAGATGAAAATTCTTGAGAAGTAAATTTTGTCTCTAGTTGCAGATTGAATATTAATCAGATGGAACATGTATCCACTGGATCAACTATTCAATCAAATGATTTTATATGATAAAGCTCATTCACTAACTGACCAATATTTGGTTATAAGATATATTTTCGACTTTTGAGAAGATAATGATAAAGTATATAATAGATACAGCTCAACACCAACACATACATTAGAATAGTGTTGACCATTGCAAATGTGGAGTTAGTAATTTCAAAGGTGGCAGAACATTACTAAAGTTTTTCTACGCTCTCAAGCTAAAGCGACAAGGCAATCTAGACATTCATTTGCTCCAATAAAATAACAAGCTCGCAACTTCATACATCGGAGCTTTTCCATTTACATCATTCAAAGGATGACCGAATTCAAAAGTCTCGTGTCGAAATCAATTGGGAGCATGATTACTAAATATAACACTGTACTATTTTTCATTTGTCCAAGTTTTTCTACCAATGAGTTTTACTTGGTAAGGTTTTAGCTAACAAGTCTTGTTTTTAGCTACATAGTTTTATTAATAAATTAATAAAATATTATATTATCATTTTATGAGTATCTGCACAAGGGTACTCAGTGCGTTTGATTAATTGTTTATCAATTAATTAAATACATAAGTCTAATATTCTAATAGTATTCGAAATGGTGTGCTACGGCGCACAAAAAGATCATTTTGAAAGTTCGCTTATAATATAAAATAAATGTTCACAATCTAGATGGAATTGGACGAACATTTGGTAAAAGATTGTAGCACAATAATTGAGTGATTAGTCTTGATCACGGCAAACAGAGAATAACTTTTGTATTTATTGTTTTAACTTATTGTACTAGCACACCCGACATGTGTTGAATCGGATAAAGTGAAATAATTGTTTCAGCATTGTTCAAAATGGAACTGTATTATTTATAACTGATATTCTAAAGATTCTTCCATATCCAATTTAGGGTGTACAGATCATGAACAATTCTATTTCCTTAGGATTGATTTCTTAGGAATCAAGTTAGGTTTAGGATGGTGAATTTCGTGCCTATATAAAGCCCTCAATCGCAGATGAGTCTCATGGACCTTTAATCGAAAAATCCCAGCATAAAGACTTTGAAAGGTGTAGCCTGTGCTGCAGCCTTGTCTGCACGTCTGGTATAGCAACAATACGAGTTTCTTCTACCAAACCGTAAAGAAGATCGGCGTTTCGGGAGAAGTGCTTAAAAGATCTCAGGAGAGGTCGATCGGCCGTCTGAAGGGAGTTCAGCATTGGAGGGAGTCCAAAAGTGCAGATGGAAGAACTGCTATGAAGAACAACAAGTGCGAGTCGTGTGCAAGAACGGCATATAACATAAAGAAGGAGTCTTTAGTGTTTTTATTAAGTCCAATATTGTACACTTTAATATGAACTAGTGAAATCTTGTTTGCAGGTCCTCGTGGGTGTAGGGCACATTTGTATCCGATCACATTAAATTCTTATATTTTTTATTATACTATAAGTAGTTTAATTCTGTATACACATAAGAATTATGTTGCAGACACCTAGTGTCTTAACTAGAAACTTGTTACAACTTAGAATAATTGATTTTTATAGGCATATAAATCAACACATACGCATGGTTGTCTGAGAGGAGTGATGTACAAAAAGATGGCAAAGTTCACCAGCTCAGCCAGTTACTGCTATATCCACACATATGTCAAGCATGGCCAATCTATTAGTACGAGGGGAACAAAACGAACAGGTTGCATCTGAAAGTACTTCAAACGTGACACCGAGGTGTAGGAACATAAACACTATATGAACAACCTATTCAACAATAATATCCAGGCAAACCAGACCCAAACGGTATGAGTAAATAATAGATTGATCAAATTGATGGAAAATAATGTATTAACTATCAAGTAGAAACAACAAACATAAATCCAAACTTAATCATAAGCATTAAAATCAAAATCAGAAAAGATAATTAAGAAAGAGAAAACTTATAGATGGATACGAACATGTCTCTTTTTACATAATAAACACCTGCATTGCTTCACACACAATCGAACATGTCTCCTTTTACGTCTTGATGTTCTTATATTCTTCCTATCTCAGTCGACATTCGCTTGTTGTGATAACATTTTAAGTCCAGCCTCCAAATCACTTGATGTGATTGTAAATAGTTCATCACCTTTAGAGTTAAAATTGAGCCTCGAATCCAGATTTTCCCTAGCATTATTTAGCATGTGATCCACCAGACCTCCGTTCATTTTATTGCGCAACTTCTCTGTGGAGTTATTCTCTATCACTTTGAGAACAATGTCATGGGTACACGAAGGATGCAGCTTAAATCCGTACAACGCGCTCTTCTCATTTTGCTTGGTCATCTTTATCATCAGCATCTCTGCAAGATCTTTGCATGTAAAATCTTCAAACTGAAAAAAGTGAGTCACTCTTCTGCAGAATCCTTGATTTGAAGAGAAAACACGCTTCATCGGCTCGGTATAGCCTGCAAAAATTACCACGATATTCCCATCTTCCAAAACAGACATGATCTCTTCCAATGCCTCCACGCCAAAGTCTTGGGAATCGTTCTTCTCAGGTACTAAACGATATGCTTCATCGACGAACAAAGTCCCCCCCATGGCCTCTTCGATCTTCACAAAAATTGATTTTCGGATATTATAACACGAAAAAAAAAACATTTGACGATAATTCAAGAGTCACATATTTTTCATACCTTTTTTCTAGTTTTCGGTCCAGTTTGTCCAGTATACTCTCCTACCAAATCTGTTCTTTGTACTTCAATTACCTTGTCTGAAGAGAGTACACCAACAGACTTAAGTAGTTTGCCTAAAATTCGCGCTACAGAGGTCTTACCTGCGCAATAAATACTCAAATCGAGTTAGAAGAAAAACTAAAAAATAAAAAAATTAATGAAAATAATGTGCCGTTCACAACGAAACTACCTGTCCCGGGGTTTCCAAGAAATGCCATGTGAGGTGCTTTTCTGGGTCCAAGATTTATCCCCGCTGCTCGGCGTTTCTCATCCATGAGCATTCCCTTTGCCCATTTTTTGAGCTGCAATTTAAGCTCATGCAATCCCACTATCTTCGCTAGTTCTTGATGGAACTCTTCCATCTTTTTTTCTATTCCAATTTCATCCTTCTTTGGATCTTCAATCTTTTGGAACCCATTAGGATGTCCAGTAAATGAGTGTCCTGGTGTATTTGACTGTCCCGTGATGATGTTTATCAGTTGTTCGTAATTTTCAAGCCCAGAGTTGCCTGTCGCATTAGTCATCATTTCCATGCATTGCTGCATGTATTCTTCGTAATTATTTCCAGGCCCTGATGAGCTGCCTGTTGTGTTATTCATTTCCATGACTTGTTTTAGGTAATCTTCATCGTCATTGTTTCCAGGCCATAATGAGCTGCCTGATGATGTATTATCCATTTCCATGAATTGTTTTACGTAATCTTCGTAATTGTTCCCGGGCGAGTTGCCTGATGATGTATTAATTACTTCCGTGAATTTTTTGAAGTATTGTTTGTAGTTTTCAGGCATTGAGCTGCCTGATGCACTGATTATTCCCATGATTTTGTTTATTTTTTCTTCGTAATTTCCAGGCCTTGAGTTTCCTGATGAATGAATCATTCCCATTATTTTGTTGATGTGATTTCCAGCCCTTGACTGGACCATTGGATTGTAGGCCAGTTTTGCAGAATCATCAGTTTGATCTGGAACATTAATTCTCAGAATTTTCACCAATTCTTCGTTTTGTAGGCCTATCGGGAGATAGTTGAAAGGAATCATACCCTCCTGCCCACATCCATGATAAATAAAAGTTCATTATCAATGACATCAATATTTATAAAAAAAAAATTGAATATGAATAGAAGAATATGAATTATACATGGTCTTTGGCGGAACAATCGGCATTATATTCTGATAACGTTTTCACAGTCGAGTTGTCTCCAGATCGAAGTGCATAACCAACTGCAAGATGTAATGGAGTCATCGAGTTCTGCAAGAAATTAATTCGGACAACAAAAACAATCGTAAAAATGGTTGTGAAATCCGGATACGACAAGTATACAATAAGAATCAAAAAGGAAAAAAAAAAATAAAAAAAATATTGTACGTTTGTTCTTGCTTCAATATTGACACCAGAGTCGAGAAGCAACTTGGCCGCCTCGTTGCATCCATTCTTAGCTGCAGTGTGCAATGGAGTCTCGCCGTACTGTGCATACAATGGTCAGCAAAATGGAGAAATATATAATATTAAGATGAAAATATAATTATGAAACCGTAATACATTAATTATTTGTTTCGTCGACATACGTACCACATTCTTAGCTTCTAACTCCACTTTCCCCGGTCCTTCCCAGTTAAGCAAATACTTCATTATCTCAATTTTATTGACACTAGCAGCAATATGCAATGGGGTTTGTACCATCTGCACCCAATAAAAATAACAACCCATATCATCAATATAGCAAGGATTATTGAATTTAGGTGATTAACTATAAGGACTCGAACTTTAGTTATACTTCAAAAGCATACGATGCATTCCTAATATATATAAAGTCGAACATGTTGATCAACGCATTTGTTATCCTACTATATGTTACATTTTGATATGTTTCTTTGTTTAGTACATGTTATATTTTACCCGTAACTTTTGCATACGAACTTCGATTGCACTAATTCAAGTTCAATAAAAATATTATGACAACTTCTACAACTTTTTTTTTTTTTTTTTTTTTTTTTTTTTTTTTGTACTTTATGATATTTTATTTACGTCTTTATGCTACATGTTTTGTTTGGGTCATTACTTTTTACATGTTCTTCTAGTTATTTTGTTTTTATCATAACTCTTGCTTACAAACTTCGATTTCCTTCATTCAAGTTGCATTACAAAGACGAAAATAATCTCTACACGTTTAATATTATTTGTTTGTGATATTTTATTTGGATAAGGTTTAAACATTGTTTTGGAGACTACAGTTCTAATCTTACTGTCGGGATTCGACATCGACCTGTTTTTTTGTATCATAACTTTCGTATACGAACTCTGATTTGTTGTGATTAAAGTTGCATTAGAAAGACGAGAATAAGTTCTACAACTTTCACATCTTATGTTTTATGAGATTTACTTTGAATCTTATGTTAATTAATCTTGTCTGTAGTATTTTACGCCACAACTTTCGCATTCTACGTACTGTGATTTGGCTGATTCTAATTTGGTTGTAAAATTGCCAAATACAACTACAACATTCATCTTTTCCAAATAGGGAGATTCAAATTAAAAATCACCGTACGTAATACGAATTTTGTAATTTATTTTGCTCGTAGTTTTCTCATACAAATTTCAATACTGGTTCAAATTGCGTTGGAAAGCCGACTTAAATATCTTCAACTTTGGGATTTGAAAATTTTCAAGATTCATCTTGTGTCATATTCTAAAATACACGAAGAATTTTAATAAACAATAAATAAAACGGATCTCATTTTTTGTGATTATTCACGTAAAAAAATAATGAATTTTGAGTGACTTGGATAAAATTATTTTAGAGAGAAGTTAGAGAGAATATGAGTAGAGAGAAAGAGAGAATTTCTTTTTTTAATTTATTTGTGGAATTTGGTAAATTTTAGTGTGGGGTTTAGCACGCCCCAACAATAATATATACATGTATGTATAATTAGGTGTTTATTGCATTTACCACCCTTGTTTTAATCCAATTATCGAAAAAACTATCTATATTACAAATATTAGCAAACACCCCTCTATGATTCAATTTTTTTTGGCAAACCACCCCTTATAAAATTCACCATCTAGGGGATGTGAGCTAAACAAATGTATGTACAATAAATGCAATCTGATAATTTTCTAATTTTATAATACGATTATAAGTTTTTTAGCAATCTCATAAACAGGGTATTAAATTAAGTGCAATAAACTTTATAGTTAATTGCATAACCAAGCCAAGAATGTCAAACACTTCTCCCAACTTATGTTGTTGGTGAATTACATACATTGATTTGGTATGTATATATACAGGGGCGGAACCAGAATCAAAATGTAGGGGGGGCTAACTAAAATTTCGGAGTTCGGGGCAGCGCCCCGAAAAAAAAAAAAGGTTCACAAGACATTGCCAAAATACGTTTATATTGATAATTTTTAATTAAAATAACATATTTATATTATAGTTTTATCATATTTTAAGCATGACAAAAAAATCTAAATTAATTCAAATTATTCTAATAATGTATTGCACTTAGTATTTTGGGTATTCATGGCATCGTCTCATATTATTTTTTAGAGTCATTGATAAAAGAAATTAAAAAATAAGTAAATATTCATAAATTTTATCTAAAAAAATGAAGAGTTAAAACACATATTTACAAAAACATTAGGAGGGCCAAAAGCAATATCCAAAAAATATACTACCAAAATACCAAAAAAAGATTTTTCTTTTTTTTATTCTTGGGGGGTCAACAGCCCCCCCATGCCCCTTAGAAGTTCCGCCCCTGTATATATACATATATACACACACAAAGTTATATATGTATATATAAGAGAGAGAGAGAGAGAGAGAGAGAGAGAGAGAGAGAGAGAGAGAGAGAGAGAGAGAGAGAGAGAGAGAGAGAGAGAGATCTTACAAAGGCAGCACTAGTTTGATTAAGAAGAGAAGGATTTTGGAGAAGTAATGTGTGCAAGGCAATGAGATTTCCGGCCTCTGCGCATTCATGAATGGTGATTTCTTTAGTAGACAACAACTTTGATTTCTTGTACTCATCAATCTTCATCTCTCCTCCCCAATCTAGATTACCGGCCTCTATCTCTTGTTAAAATTAGAAAAGAAAAAAAGACACTCAGAAAGTATGGGTATTTATGGAGTTTTTTTTATTTGGAGAAAACGTAGGTTGTACGTGCAAGATTCTTTTATGAGAATGAAGAATGAGTCTGTCGTCTCTGCTTTAGTCTTCGACTTTGCCCCCTGTCCTAACAGTTATAAGAAAATTGTTTGGAATTTTTTGGACTGCTTATCACGTTCATACATTTTGACATTTGTTGTATTATTGGCTATTGACATATGTATTTCATACTATCTATATATAATATAAAAAGAGGATCTATGCCCTCAATGATTGACATGTGGCGAATGATGATGTCATTTATCAAAATTGCTTAGTTGGAGTTCAATTGATGAGGTGGATTCTTCAATTGATTAGTTGACATTTTTATTTAGGTATGTTTTTAAGTTTTTTCCTATTTTACATTTACACAATCATTTAATAATTCCCACATATTTATATATAATATTTCATGAATTCAATATCCTATCATTTCTAAAAATATTATATTTTTTATAATTTTAATTTTTTAACTATATTTTTCGCCGGTTCTTTTTTAAAAATTCAGAACACTCGATTTTTTAACGAGTATTCGATTTTTTAAATCATAGTTTACACACTATTTTTTTTATAGTGAAATAATCATATTTATATTTAATTATTTATACACGGTTAATGAATTATTTTATCTCACGTTTTAATTTAATTTTCCGAAATATATTTTTTGAATGTCTTTTTTTTTTTTAAATAGAACACTCATTTTTTTATGATATATATTTTCGAATTTAGTTTTTTTAATTATAATATTCAAAAATAATAATAATACTTATAATTATTATTTTTACAAATTATTAATAATTCAAATGAATATACTAATAAATTAATTAATCACCATACATGGTTTTTTTTTTTTAAATATTTTGCCAACTTAATGTATATGTAATAATTTAATTTTATAAATATCAATAACTAAACAATATTTAAATTTTGAAATCTAAATTTTCGGATTCCAAATTTTGAATTTCAAATGTTTTTTTTACTATAAATTGTCGATCAATTCTCCAATTTTATGTCATATAATTTGATTTCTTACCTATTAAGTTGATTGGTTTTGATTCATATGGTTAATTCATGGAAAATATCTAATCAACAATAATTGGTTAACATTATAACATTAAATGTGTATTTCCATAATAACTTACTATTTACTTTTTTATAATATAAAACCCAAGTATAAATACCCCTCATTCCAATCAATTTCACTCACTCATACTCTCCACCCGAATTTTACACTCACATAAAACTAAAAAAATAGGTTATGCCCGAAATGTTAGTTTTACGTTTTATTTTGGTCCACTAATCTTTAATATAATTAATTAAATTGTGGGTGATTCAAATTATGGTATTAAGGTGATTTATGGTATTTACTTTGTAACGTAATAAGACAATAAAAGACAGGGATTTGTCTTCTGCTGTTACAAAGAATTGTGGCCCTCTTCTCTTGTCTATAAAAGCATCCACAACTCTTCTCCTCAATCCATCAGACGCAATTTGAGAATTCCATCAATTACAAAAATATTTAGTGAGTTGTGATATTAGAGAGATAGAGAGAAGAAGGTGTGCTACGAATAAAGTTCTCAAGGAGATTCGAAGGAGGCCTGGCTAGGCTCGGCTTGTAGATTGCTATCATCCTTGTTCATCGTCTCTATCGGAATCCATGGCGAACGGTATGTCGATAATCTCTATTACGTGATTATATTCTTAAGATGAATTTGATTTCAAGATTCTGTGATTAAGGTTTTCCGCATAAAATTAAATAAAAGTCTTTCAATTGGTATCAGAGCAGGGTTTTGAAATCGATTCATCTTAGACCTCAAATTTGTTATATGTTCATCTTACGGCTGTATGATTTCGTGGATTTAAATCTTGAGATAAAATAATTGTTTTGTTGTCTGATTATAAATTAATTAATAACACGATCTTTATTGATATACGTGTTTTGATAACCGATAAATTTTGTGTAGTTATCTGTACCCTTGGGGCCCTTTTGGTTCGATAGTTTGGATAGATAGCTATTGATGGGATACGTAATACGGGACTAAATTGTTGATTCACAGTGATTAATACTTCCTTTGGTTCGAGTTATACACATGAGACAAATAATCCCTGACAAAAAAAAAACATGTTTTGTTCGGCTGACTTTAGGGATTATTGTGTGTTAATTAGTTAAATTACTGCATTGCCCCTGAAATATCTTATTTTATATCATCTTCTTCACCTTCTTTACTTCAGAGAATTTCCCCCTTTTTTGAAAAACCGATGAATCTCTCTCCACACCTTATCTTCTGACTTGTTTTTTTTTTTTTTTTGCCATAAAGCTTGTTCATCGACTGTTTGTCGTTGTATTCTAGTTTGTTCTCATGAGCGCTGGGAGTACTACTT